GCTTGGAGTACTCGGTGAGTTTTATGCTTTAGCATCCTTGCATGCGTGTGAGTGAATGCCATTATGGGCTTACAGCTTTCCAAGTTAACACTTGGTTACAACAAAAGAGTACTAACTCATTTACAAGTTAAGCCTTTGGCTTGAATTTACATGTAATACATCAAAAAGTAAAACGACAAAAGTATGTCCGCCTCTAGCCTCCCAAGCTAGGTTCTTGGAGGTGGCATGCTACCTGTACCTGAAAATGATATTCCCATATAGGGTGAGCCACAGCCCAGTAGAAATACACTAAACCAACCATGAACAATGACTAAAAGATTAGCAATTGATAGATGGCCAACACTGATACATTCACATAAATCACATATTTATGTCATACGACTTATAAGTCCAAGTTACTTTTCATTTTCCCTTTTTCAACAGATAAGCATATTAGCTCTATCATTATTTCAACAGATATGTATAAAAACTATATCCCACATTCACAGATAAGCATATAAGCTATATCCACATTCTCAACAGATATGTATAACAACAATATCCCCTATTCACAGATAAGCATATAAGCTGTATCCACATTCTCAACAGATATGTATAACAACAACATCCCATATTCACAGATAAGCATATTTGAAAAAGGTACCCTACATTACTTGCCATTCAATGGAAAGAACAACAAAAATTAACGTTGAATCCTAACTTCCCAATAGATTGACCTTCCAACTTGGAGCTAATTTGAATAACAATGTGGTCCCAAATTCCAAAATAATGAACAATACCACATTTTCTATGCCCCATTTTATTGATCTATTAACTAATGGGTCACTATCCCAAACATTGCTAACTCTTTCACCAAAGCTAGAAACCATCCAACCAAGGCCGGTCCTGAGGCAAGGAGGGCAAGGCCGCCTCGGGCTCTGGAATTCTATCTAAAAAATAGGGACCCCAAATAATTTTAGCCCTTATGTTATGTTTGGTTCATTGCAATGAAGTGGATGAAATAATCATTCCACATAATGTCCATTCTCACGTTTGGTTCACTAAAAAAATTATAAAAAATATATTACAAATAAAATCATCTCTTATTATTATGAGAGAATAATCATTCTATAGAGAGAGGCTAAGGAATAACTATTCCTTTCTATTTAATTTCATTCCAGTGAACCAATCATTACGTTGTAGTATTAGTAGTATAAAAATGAAGTTTTACAGAAAAAATTTAATAAACAATTGAAGTGGTGAATTATTTAAAAGTACTAGATGGATGTTTACCAAATGTATGGATTGTTAATAAATAACTATACGAGTTATATTGCCTCTAGATAAATAAATTTTATGCTGAAGTTGATCAATTTTACATTCAATTGCCTATGTCAAATTTTTTTTGAATAAATTAATAATGTTACCCATCGAGTCCAAAATCTATCTCAAAAATTATGATTTATGTGTATCTTAAGAACTATGATTTATGTCAACTATAAAAGTCATATGGAAATTACTCACAAAATACAATATTATAATTATTATGAAAAACAAATTATAATAGATTCACTCACTAATATAATATTTTCAAATTGGATTTATCACTTAATACTTTAAGTGATTTCTGTGTATGGAATGGTTAAAAAACTAGTAATTTTCGTGTTTATATATGCTAGCAAATTTGTGTAGGTAAATATATATATATATATATATATATTGGGATGACTTTGCAGACAACCAACCTTTTCTTGTTGGTGATATAGAGAGCTTACTTGACTAGACTAGACTAGACTAGACTAATCACATTTTGTTTTGTTTAGAACAGTCACTAAAATATCTTGAGTACATATTATTTAATATCCACTAATTGATGACAAAACATGGAAGTCACTTATAAATTGGTAGATCCATGAACATTTGATCTTATGCACATAAACATAGATGCACCGTACACCTCATGTAAGAGCTATAGATCACAAAATGTTAGAGAACCTTCTAATTAACAACAAAACGCCAAAAAAAATGAAAAAATGTTTGAAATCAGTCTCCTTGAATCAACTACAGCCATTATATGCAGAAAGCAAAAGGTAAATAATAATAATTGGGCCTGTGAATAGAAGTAAGAACACAAGTAAAATGATGATAGCCGAATCAATAAAACAAGCAGCCTGTTTGGAGATAAACATAACAAAGCAGAACGAGAAATGTCTCAAAAAGAAGATAATATGTAAAGAAAATATGTATTGAACATTTTTTACATCTCAAAAAGAAGATAATCACACATGACAGTGCCAGATTAATGACATAGGTGAGCTCAGAAATTGCCCAACATATTTATTACTTCAATTCTTGTATAGTTCTCTACAATTCCCTCAAAAACCAAAACAAATAGATAATTCTAACCAATCCCAAAAGAGAACATGCGAAAAATTTAAAGAAGGTCGAGATTATGAACACTACACCGAAGGTCCAACAAATTTATGGCCTGGATTATTGAGGCCTAACCATTTAGATGAACTATCTTAAATGGGTTTGGTTCTTAGTCAAATCAGGGTTGAGAAGGCAGAATTTAAACAATCAATCCAATAGAAAAGAGTCATAGACAACTCAAAATGCAAGGTGAGGGGGGAAGAAAGAAAAGAAAGGAAAAGTAGCCCTAAACTAAAAGGTATATATCTCATGGACCTATTTTAGTAATCTCTCAACTGATTATAGCACAAACACTTCTTTTGTTTAACAAACTATTTGAATTAATAGTAATCTATGTTCCTGGTAAGGTGCCTCAAATCATGATTCTTCAGAGTTGGGTTGCAAAACAAAAGTCCAATAAGCAAATAGGGTATGTTGAATGGGTTTATACAGTAACATCAAAATATCTATTCATTTCTCAGTTTATACAATTCCTAGAAAATTGCTAAAGGTTATACATCCAAACCACTTTAATTTTGTTTCTCATAGGAAAATCAAGCCACCACAAGAGTAATTGTTAGAAAAATAAACAGATTTCAATAAGCAAATAAAAAATTAGTCTCATATCAGTTACATGGTTACAAAATTCAATTACCAACACATCAGATTTCACACAAGCCAAATTTCAAGTGTATATATATATATGGAATCAACACAACTAACAAACATAAAAAACCTAAACCTATTCAAATCATATTTTCCTAATTTTATAAACCAACCCAGTGAGTTCACGTGAAAAGGGCAGTTTCGAAGAAGGGGATTTCGGTCTAGGGTTTCATAGAATGGAGATGGAGAAAGGGACAAAAACAAGTAGCTGAGCGAGAAAGAGAGACATACATTGAGGCATGTAGCTTGCTAAAACGAGGAGGAAAAGAAAAAGGCAGAATAAACTCACTCTTCGGTGCTTGGTGAGAAGGAGCTCCGGCGAGGTCCTATACAGATCTTTGTCAACAGCTTTGGGAGCTTTTCTCCGTGGTAGATGATGCGGCGGTGCAGGTCTCGGCCGTGGCAAGGGCAGAGAGAGAGAGAAAGAGAGAGAGAGAGAGAGAGAGAGAGAGAGTAATTTTTGAAGACGTTTGGGATGAAGAAAGGGTCTGAGGGAGAGGAGGGAATTTTGATTTTCACTGGAAATTTGGATGTTTGTTCAAATTTTTGGCCGAAATTATTTGGGGGAATTATGTAATAATCATAATAAAAAAAATTAAAATAATTAGAGTCTTATAATAAAATAAATTATTAATTTATAATTTTATCAATTTATACTCAATTTTTTTTATTTATTTTTAATATAAATTCTTATATATTTTTATTAAGTAAAATTAATAAAAAAAATATTTTACTCATCAATTACAAAATGTATAATCACACTATAAATTGGCATAAACATAATAGACAAAATTTCAGAAACTATAAGGTAGTGTTTGGTAATATTTACGTTTTTAGTTTATGTTTACAAAAATTTTATAAATTGGTTTCTGTTTATTTTTAGAAAAACATAAATTACAAACGCGTTTGGTTTGAACAAATGTTTACAAAATTTTAAAAATATAAACTAAAAAATATATTTGTTCAGGCCTAAAATATTTATATTTATTTTTATTATTTATAACAATGGGATCACACACATTATAATTGAAAAAAGTTAATTAAAAAAATAATTGAAAAAAAAATTAATTGGGAAAAAAATAATTAATTGAAAAAATAATTGAAAAAAAAATTATTTGAAAAAAAAAAGTTAATTGAAAAAAAAAATTAATTGAAAAATAATAATTAAAAAAATATTTATTTGAAAAAAAAAATTATTTCAAAAAAAATCATTTGAAAAATTAATTGAAAATAAATTAATTGAAAAAAAAAATTGAAAACTGAAAACGTAAACTCATTTTTTTAGTTTACGTTTTTTCTTCAAATTTTCAAACTAAGACAATCATTTAGGTTGTGTTTGGTAAAGTTTACGTTTTCAGTTTATGTTTACAAAAATTTTATAAACTGGTTTTTATTTATTTTTAGAAAAACATAAACTACAAACGTGTTTGGTAATTGACAAAATGTTTAAAAAAATTTAAAAATATAAAAAAGAGTGAGAAATGGCAAGTGGTGGCAAGTGGCGGCGGAAGACGGTGGTGGGAAGTGGTGACGGTGGATGGGTGGGTGACGGTGGCGGGTGATGGGTGGTAGCGAGTGGGTGGTAGTGGTGGTAGTAGCAGGTGGTGGTAGGTGGGTGGCGGATGGTGGGTGGTAGCGGGTGGGTGATGGTAGCGGGTGGTGGGCAGTAGCAGGTGGGTGATAGTGGTAGTGGTGGTGGTGGTGGTGGTGGGTGGTAGTCTGAATAAGATGGACAACACAAAAATTATGGAGACAACTTGGTACTTGTATCTGATCAGCTTATAAATTTGGATATTGTCTATGTATAAACCATGAATGAACATATTCACAAAGCTATTACAAGTTAGAGTCAGATAATAGACTAGAAAGGCACACTAAAATACAACAAAAAGCTTCACTTCTTCAAAAATTGGCTTGTAAATAGTTAAGAAGTATGTACAAGTACATGTAACACAATACAAACATGACACAAATATATTGACACTATAATTTAAAAAAGAAGAAGCACGACATGAATGCAGTTTTTAGTATCACAGCCAGCATTGTAGCATGCATGAGTTCAAAACAATTCAACTATAAAATGATTATTAATATTAGTAAATGACAAGCATCTATGGAGAAGTTCAACTCATTCAACAAATCTAAACATGACATTGTAAAGAAATAATGAAAGTATGAAGATAGTCTTAAACATAAACTATGAAATATAAATCGAGTTCAAATATTAAAGATTTAATCAACAATTCTACACGTAACTGTCCATACCAGGGTCTTACAATTTAGTTTGGTGCATGTGAGACGGGGATGGAGAAGCACATCTATCATTTTATAAGGTAACTTCAGAGCTCATTTTTCGATTTGATTCATTTTTAGGAAAGAGAGAGAAACTTGTTTCTACCATCTTTTGACCTGTGCTAATAATTCTGGAAATGCTGTAAAGCTTACGAACTAAGAATATTACTAGATTTAATAATCTCATATTTAGACTAAACCAGAATTCCTTTTTCTCTTTTAATTATTTTTGTACATGTTACGGGTACAGTTAGCATAAACTGGAAGCAGGAAGATGCCAATTAAAAATTAGACTACAAACAGTATAAGAGTTATAAACCTAAATTATAATCTATAAATCCTTCGCCAGACAACAAGCTGACACATGCATCTAATTTATAAATTATCAAGCAATGAATCATGCCCTGCAAACTATGGAGGAACAACATCTGACATAAACATGAGGTGTGCCTACCCTAAAATTAATTATTTGGAGACAAGTGGTTGGAACCAGATATAAATGTCTTGTCAGTAGAACAAAGTGTATGTTTGTTTGACACAGCAAAATTTCGGAGTAAATGTCTTGAGACTAAACTGTCCTCCATACTTGATTTGGAAACATTGGAACAATTTGGCTACCAATGATAGTGATAACCTCATTAACAAAGTGTTCTTGGATATTGGATTCCTTAAGGATGATTAAATAACTTCAATTTACCATTTGTGATTATCACCATCCGAGTAATGTTGAAACTACTACATTGCCGCCAAAATCATTCCATGGAATACAATGCAGATGGATTCTTGAATAGTAAAAATTAAATTAAATTAAATTATGCCTTTGAATGATTGAATCACACAAGAGGTAATTCTGCATTTACCAAAAGTATTAATTTCCTTTCCTAGGAAGAAATACCTTAAACATCGAAGTAAGCTCTCTGCAGCTGAAGCTTCTTGCATTGCTTCTATTGCAGCTGTTTGTGCAGCGTCTCTGTGCCTCAAAACTTCCTGTAAAATTCAGTATGCAAATTTTTGTTATGAGAATCGATGTGTGGAGCAGTAATACTTATATGCTCCAAATGTTAATAAAACTGAGGGTCTGCATGTGAATGTACAGTTTTGAAGCGGTCAACCCTAAACCAACAAAAAACTGAACAACCCTAGAATTGAAATTGTTGATTGGCTAAGTAGCATAGACACAGACATATGACATGACACAGACAAACCGATACAATGATTTTAAGAAAATGCAAGGCACGATATGCTTGGGACGTGTTAAAAATTTATATTTTCATGAATTAATTATATGTCAAACATATGAATAGTTCATTAAAGATAATGAGAAAAAAAGAAAGTAATATAACACTAATTAAAATTAAAAAGCTATATATTTCATAATTTAAACATCGAGATATCATTTATGTAAGAAATTATAAAGGTTGTACCTTTCCAAGCTTTGAAAGAGAAGATGGGAGTGAAGCCCATGAAACACTTCCATCTGTTAATCTCCTATTACTAAGAGAAACCTTGACCAAGTTTCCTGGTAATCCATGATTAGCAGCCTCACCAGATGATTTCTTTCCAGCAGAAGTTCTTTGCTTATTTGACTTGTCAACACCATCCGAATCTCCATTTGCAGTAACTTTCTTTGCAACCTGAAATTTGTTTTCCTCTTTGGATGGTTTCATCGATATCTGGACCTTGTTTTCCTCTTTAGATGGCAACCTTTCACTGGTTGATTTTCTAGGAACCTGGTCAATATTACTCAGTTAGTGCAGAAAAACAAGATTACTTGCTAGAAGGCTAAAAATAAAACCAGTCTGACAATGACTACATGGCCCATTAAAAAAAAAAGGGAGAGAGAAACAAAACTAAAAGAAGCAAAAAAAAAAAATCTAAATTTCAAATCCATTTCTACATTCGCACTAAATCAAGACAACATAATAGATTTAATTCGTAATTCATATATCTTTTAAGTTTTAACCCGGAAATAAATGCTAATCAAGTTTTCTAACTAATCTTTAAATGCCAACAAAAGAACCACTAACTAAACAAATCATATGAAAAGGATCAAGTAGACTCTGGAAAGCTAATTAGAGAGAGGGGACTAAAATCAATTTCAATCAATCTAGAGTACAAATCAATAACCAAATAATAAACCAGACAAATCTCGATTAATTTTTAACGAACATATGATGATAAGGGCTTAAAGACGACTTACAGAAGTACTCCGAGACTCAGGCTTCAAATCAAGCCTGGTGCCCCTCAATCTTGGACTTTCTCGACCCTTCATTTCCATGTTTCCTTCCCAGCTCTTTCTCAAAGCTTTAGGACCCAACTCAATCCCCTGAACCCAATTCTTGATTGCATTCGCAGCGGGTGCCCTCTTTGCAGCCAGACTTGCCCCACGAGCTGAACTGGCCCGTTCCCCCAATCCCAATTTAGCCGTTGCCTTCTCCAACCCTTTGATCTTCGCTTGCTGCTTAAGCCCATTTGCAAACTTCTCAAAAGAAGTGGGCAACGAATAACAACTCGTTGGAGACGAAGGGATTGACTTTGAATTCGATGACTTCAATTTAGCTAAAGATTCCTTCTTCTCTACCAAATTCAAAGCCGGTTTCAACAATTGAGACTTTGATCGACTCAACATCGGTGTTTTATTATCCGATTTATCCTCCCTAGCACCACCATTTAATCTATCCTTCCCTCCAACATGGCTATGGCTATGGCTATTATTACCCAATACTTTTGCACTTGATTTTGATTTATCTAAGGGTTTTGAACCCGAAGAAGATTCAAAATTGTTATTATTAAGGAATCCCAAAGATCTGGTTGCAACTATATCTTCAGGGCTTCCCACACAAGGGTGGCGCCCCGGGACCGGCCTAACCCCTCGAAGAATGGGGACCGGGGAGGCAGCATCAAGCCTTTCAACATGTATGAATTGACCCAATTGGAGTTTATCACTAAGAATTAGATCATCATGTTCATCAGGTAGAGAAACATAGGTGGCATGAGATGAATCTGATACCTTGAGGTAAAACCCTTGGTTTGGGAAGAGTTCGCCACCAGCTAGTGCAGGGACAATGCTCACTACTTGCAATAGAGATGACCTGTGCTCACCAGCAATCTTCACATCTGTGTTCATATGCTGTAGAAGCTTCAATAGAACACCAGGGACCAAAGTAGCCATTGTTGGGGACTTCAATATGCATCACTCTGAGAAAACCCAGATGGAGAATTTCAATCTCTCCTATGAGAACACAATAAATCTTAAGGAGGCATTGGAAAATAAGGGTTTTCACCCTGAAAATGAATCTTGGCAGGTAGTAGAGAGGGGAAATGAAAGTTGTTACCCAGAAAAGTTAAATCGTACAAAACCAAACACAAAGAAAATCAAACTATTCAACAACCCAGATGAAAAGGTTAAAGCGTTAGCACTAATGGTGTACAGATTCAGCAAACAAAACAAAAGTAGAGTACACACCAACCCAATTGAAATTTGTAACCTTAAACCCTACCCCCCCAAAAAAAAAAGAAATTTGTAACTAAAAATGCATTGGGTAATTAAAACCTATTCAAAATGAAAGGGTTTAAAGCTTTTCTAGTACAAATTATGACCACAGGGGGAGAGAGGAGAGGGGGAGGGGAGAAGGGAGGGAGAGAGAGAGAGAGAGAGAGAATATGACTTGACAGAGAGGCCATTGGGCTTTTTGTTGTTTTAATATGTGAATAATAGATAATAAAATATTAATTTTTCTGCAACCCAGATAGAAAAATTAATAAAGTTGGGAAATAATTGATGGGTTACAACTCAAAACTGGTATTGAAATGCTCAGCAAAATTCATTTCCAGATGTGCAAAAATGCAACTTTTTGAAGGGGCATTAGTATTAGAAGATAAAAAGAGAACCTTGATAAGTGTTTAAAATGTCTGAACACGGGACGTGCTGAATTTTCAGAAGATTGATTTTGTTTTTGTTTTTTTGAAACAGATATAAAAAGTTCAACAGAAAATAACTGATACCAGAGGGAGAGAGAGAGAGAGTCACTGCATGATTGATGATCCAAAACAGTGTACCTGATACAAACATACGTGTCCACTAATTTGGAAGCTGACCCACTTTTTGATCATCATGTATGAGACCACCTATATTGTTTCATGTAGCTAAATTATTTTTTGAATCAAAAAAAAAAAATGTAGTTAAATATTTCTTTACAATGAAATGAGAAACCAAGAATTAAAAGAAAGAAAATAAAATGTGGGTTTTCATTTTTTTTTGATTTATTTTGTTTTTTAAAGTTGAAAATTAATGATTAAAAAACATATATTAATAAAAATACATATTTGTCACTCATTAATAATTAATTAATTTTAATTTATTTTTATTTCATAAATACTTTAACATAACTAATGAAGCGAAAGAGACAGCAGTTGTGCCAAGAAGTGGAAGGAGAATCTTTACAGAAAACAATCTATAATAATATATGTTAATTTATTTGGTTTTGGTTTAATATCCAATTTTATAATATGGGTAAGATGAATTTGATTATTAAATGATATTTATGTGTGTGTATATTATATATAGAGTAATGTCACTCTAAATATATACTCCATTATGTGATAAGAATATAAAATTTCACATAATTAAATATGTGACAAATTAAAAATTAACACAACATTTTACATGTTTGTGATTAAAATTGTGAAGATTTTATTAGGACCTCAAATATTTTCTTAATGGGGACAGTTTGTCTCTAGTTTACGTAGGGCTCATCACGGACTATATTTCGATAATTTGAACTGTTCAATATGTAGAACTCATTGAGTGCTTTATCGCTGTAAAATATAATATTGATCTGATATTGATAGCTACTTGATCGGATTAGATTTTTGTTAACAATTTATTTTAAAAATTATATTTACCATTGAGAGAAATCTAATCCAATCAACAAACTATTGATATTCGATTAACGTAATTTTTTTACAGGAATAAAATATTTGACGAGTTCTACACATTGAACGATTTGAATTATCGAAATAGAATCTCTGATGAACCTCCACAAATCTAACAATACATTTCAATTCAATCACGGACTAGAGAGAAGCCTAACAGTTTCTTAATAGGGTCCAGCTTGTTTCATGTTGAAATCAAGACTAGACCCGTCTAGTTCGGCCCATGGGTCCATTTTGGGTCCCGTTTCGATAATCCAAACCGTTCAATATATAGAACTTGCCGAGTATTATATTCAAACTGAACATCATGTTAATTGGATATCGATAACTATTTGATCGGATCAAATTTGTATTAAAAAATGAACGGTAAAAAAATAAACGGTTGACAGAAATCAGAACCAATCAAATAGCTATCGATATCTGATCAATTTGATTTTTACAAGGATATAATACTCGACGATTTTTTACATATTAAACGATATAGATTATAAAAACAGATTCTAAAAATAGACTCATGAACTGGACTTGGCGGGTCCAATCTTGAACTCAACCTAAGCCACGGCAGACCCTTCTTAAAATATATATAACATACAACTGGAGTGTGGATGCATGTGCAAGCTGGCAAATGGGTTTGTCGGTTACCTATGGATGTGTCAAATTTTGTGGAGGTGATGGAGTCAGATTCCGTCGAAACATCGGCGTTGGATCCCTCCTTTCTCTCTCTACAAATATTAGATTTTCTCCTGTTATCATAAAGGATGGTTCCTCCAAAGAAAGGACCATGTCATTGTCAACATGTGGTTCATGAAGTGGTGGATCATGGACCACTCACCGCCGGGGGGTTGGAACATAATGCTTGAGCTGGTTATGTGACCTTATTTACTGACCTCTAATCCGCTAAAATCATCTCCATTAATTGATATCAAAATCAGAGACAGATGTAAGATCTGAATTTTGAGAGGACAAAAATATATGTAATTTTTATTGAAAAAATTATTATAAAATTTAAAAATTTAATTTATATCAATACAAAAAATAAATAATATTACTATTAATCGGAATTTTTTTGTCAAAATGACTGAGAACAAAAATATAATTGAATATATTTCTTTTGTTTGTATTAACTTAACAAAATATTAACTCTTACTATATGTCTCCGTCTAATAAAATTAACTATTTAAAAATATTGTAATCATTATTTTTTTATAATATATATATATATATATATATAAATATTTATGATAAGCTCAACATCAAAACATTAATTAATATCTTTCTCAATAAATATGATCAAGTAACTTATTATAAAATCATCTTTCATCTTATTACATAGTTTAATTTTTTATTTTTTCAAAATAAAACCGTTTATGGTATGAAAAAAAGACATTAATGAACATAAAAAAAATATTTATGCTCTTAATCTAATCAAAGTAGATTTTTTTTTCTACTTTACAAACATTCATGTATATAATGTAAACATACACATGTAAAAATATACACATGATTAAAGAAAACACGAAAATATCCATCAATGGCTCTGATACCAATGTAAATCAAAACACAAAACATGCAGCGGAATAAAATGTTTAGATCATACCTTGATGATAGAACCTTGTGGATAAATCACGTGCTTCCAGAGTGTAGTCAATCAATCCCAGCAGTGGGGTGATATTACAATGGTGAATATCACCCACACAAACCACAGTGCAAATGACTTGATCGTTGTTTTTGGGAGAGAGTCAGTATATGGGTAAAAAACTCAGATTATACGTTGTTTCTCTCTTAATCACCCATAACCATATTCCAGATATATAATATATTATTATTATCTATCCATATCAGTTAAAACTGATAATATTTTTTCCACTTAATCACCCATATCCCATATATCAGATATATAATCTATTTATCTCATTTATCCATTTGTTAAATGAGATAATATCTGATATCTATATCATCTATCCATATCATGATATGATAGATATATATCCTGAGTGGCTATCCAAATAGGTTTGAATTCAAATTCAAAACCCATTTGAATGAGGTTCAAAAGGTTCTAAGGGTCATGCCACATGGGCGCCCAATTTCTAACAGGGGATTTTTAAGAAAGATGTTGAAAATCTTTAGAATAAGTTGTTATATTTATTTTGTGTGCGAAAATAAATGATGTTTGAAAAGTGTTTATTTATTACATATAAATGATGATTTTCCATGAAATAAGAGAATTGTTGAAGTTTTGGAAGTTGTTGTTTAAAAGTGTTGATATTGTCTTGAAATAACTAAGTTAGAAATGTTTGAAATGTGGGAATTATGTTATCCCTTAGATGAATTGAAGTAAAAGTATTTATTTATCTTGTGAAATTGCATTGAAATGAGAAATGAGAATTTTGATCACAATGGGGATATTGTGTGGGAGCATTGAAAGTGGAAGAAATATTGCATTGTATTATTAATCATTGCATTGGCATATCAATTCATTTGATAATGAAGAGCTTTGAAATTTGATTTGAAAACTTTGCATTTAGAAACGAATGTTGAGAAACAAGTTTTCATGAAATGGTTTTGGGGTAAATACGATGGTAAGTCTTGAAAGGTGGTGTAAAGGATAGGTGTCGAGCCTTCCAGGTAATACTGGTAAAAATGATAGATTACAGGTGTCGAGCCTTTTAGTTAATACTGGTAAAAATGACAGATTACAGGAGTCGAGCCTTCTTGTTAATACTGGTAAAAATGACAAATTGGTAGTACTTATATAGTCTACTTGCAGGCAGAGACCTAGGGATTTACAGAGTTGTATTTACTGCCCCTTGAATAAAATTGATAAATGTTGAAAAGTTGAAATTGCATAACATCATTGAGCATGATGGTTTCCAAAAGATGAAGACGTGTTTTATTTTCAAAAGGGCATGACATGACATGTGCATTCATCTCTTGAGATTTGTATAAAATGCATATACTTTGTCCTACTGTGCTTTATGCTCACCCTACGGGAGTTTTGTACAAGAAAAGATGTGGTGATTCCGCCTAACTGAAGGCGTGGAAGTGTGTGTGTTAGGAGTACAACGCTCTCATTTTGTGTGACTCTGTTTTGTAAGCCAAGGGCTATATTTGTGTGGGTGTGCTTTATGCTCACCCTACGGGAGTTTTGTACAAGAAAAGATGTGGTGATTCCGCCTAACTGAAGGCGTGGAAGTGTGTGTGTTGGGAGTACAACGCTCTCATTTTGTGTGACTCTGTTTTGTAAGCCAAGGGCTATATTTGTGTGGGTTTGAATAACCGTTATGTGTAACCCGGCTTAAGCCTTGGAAACTTGTAAACCCTTTAGGGTATTTATTTGTTTATTTACTTGTTGTTGGATTAATTGTATTATCGCATGAAGACTATTTACATCATGTAATGCAAGTATGAGGCTTTATTATCAGTTTTAATTTAAAGGGCTATGATTATTGTATTACCATTTGGGCATGAAAAATTGGGGCGTTACAATTTGGTATCAAAGTTATCGGGTTCGAATATTTGGAGCTCGTGGGAAGTGGTTGTTTTACCACAATGGGTTCATGCTGCATGATAGGTTGCATGATAGGAAGATGTTATACATTTTTTGACTATGTGATAGCATGCTTGTGTGGCTATGTAGGTATGGGATTGGACTTTTAAGATGTTGTTTGCACCTGTTAAATTTCTTGAGGTCTTTTTAGAAGGGTACTTGATCAATACTCGTTCTCCTAAGAATTCTTGTTTTTTCGTGGGACGAATTTCATCATAAAAGGATAATTCGTATGTGTTTACATGACTAAGTCCTTATGTGGAATGAAATTGAAATGTCTATATAGTAGTGAAATATATGGAATTGCAATGATTAGACGTGTAAGGCAAATTGCGAGCACATATGG